TTGAATAATTCATCCCCGATGATGACGAACTTGGCCGACCTCATCCTTATCTTCTGAGCTTCGTCTTTATTTTCGGGCAGGACTCCTTCTTTCAAGTAGCCCAAGATGTTTGTCATCCAACCCAGGTCTTCATTGTCACTAACGTTGATGACCTTGTCGTCCAAGCTGGGTGAGTGCAAGGTTTCCTGGATGATGGTTCGGTGCTGCCCGGGTCTTTTGGTGCTGGAGAGCTTGGATAGGAGGTCAGCTCGGGTGTTTTGCTCTCGTGGTACATGTTTTATGGTGAATTCGTCAAAGGATGAGATCTGGTGGGACGCAGTGTGAAAGTATCACTGCAGCAGAGTGTCCTTTACCTGGTATGTCCCACTGAGCTGCTCCACCATGAGTTTCGAGTCGCTGTTGCAACTCACTCTTCGAGCTCCGAGGTCGCGGGCTAGCCTCAGTCCTGCGAGAAGTGCTTCGTACTCTGCCTGGTTATTGGTCACCTTGAAGCCAAACTTAAGGGATTGCTCTAGGGCGACTTGGTTTGGTCCTTCCAGAATGATGCCTGCCCCGCCGCCTTTGGAGTTGGAGGAACCGTCAACATGCAAAGTTCACACCTGGGGCTCCTCGGCCGTAGCTGGTGTGAGCTCGGCTACGAAGTCAGCTAGGCATTGGGCCTTCAGGGGTCCGCGACCTTCGTACTGGATCCCGAACTCGGATAGTTCCACCGACCAGGCGATCATGCGTCCGGTGAGCTCAGGTTTTTGCAGGATTTGCTTGATGGGGTAGTCAGTTTTGACTATCACCTGGTGGCTCTGGAACTGCTGGGCCGCGGTGACAAGCGTCAACGCTAGTTTCTCGATCATTTGGTACCTCCTCTCCGCGTCTTGGAGGACTCTACTGATGAAGTAAATAGGTGTCTGTACCTTCTGGTGCTCTTGAACGATAACTGCGCTGATGGCGTTTTCCGCTACGGCCAAGTAAAGGAGGAGGTCTGTGTTGTTACCCGGCCTCTGTAGGATTGGTGGGGTTGTGAGGAAGGTTTTGAAACTTTGGAAAGCTTCTTCGCACCGATCTGTCCACTGGAAATCCTTGGGTTTTTTTAGCAGAGTGAAGATTGGTCCCGCCTTCTCCGCGAGCTCGAGATTGGCCTCAATTCCTCTGCTGGTAATCATGAAGCCCAGGAACTTGCCCCCTTGGACACCAAAGACACATTTCTCCGGGTTGAGGCGCATGTTATGCTTCCTGACCTGGGCGAATACTTCGGCGAGGTCGGCGGCGTGGTCTATCGCTGAGGTGGTTTTGACTACCATGTCGTCGACATAGACTTCCATGTTTCTTCCGATTTATTGATGGAAGACCTTATCCATCAACCGTTGGTAGGTTGCCCTTCATTCTTGAGGCCATAGGGCATCACTCGGTAGCAGTAGTTGGCATGGTCGGTGATGAAGGACGTGTGCACTTCGTCAGGTGGGTACATCATTATCTGGTTGTACCCAGAGTAGGCGTCGAGGAAGCTGAGGAGGGCGTGTTCGGAGGCTCTGTCGACTAACCTGTCAATGTTCGGCAGGGGGTATGAGTCCTTGGGGCATGCTTTATTTAGGTCGGTATAGTCAACGCACATACGCCACTTCCCCGAGTTCTTTTTTACTAAGACGATGTTTGCCAGCCATGTGGTGTATCTGACTTCACGGATGAAGCCGGCGCTGAGCAATTTCTGTGTTTCGACGACGATGGCCTCTCGTCTTTCGCCGCCGACTTTCCTCTTCCTCTAGGCGACTGGTTTCGCCTCCTTGTGTATTGTTAGCCTGTGACAGATGAACTCGGCGTCTATGTCGGGCATGTCAGCGCTGGACCAAGCGAAGAGGTCGGCGTTCTTGAGGATTTCTGCCTCGAGTTGCTGTCGTAGTTCCGAAGTTAACTGCCTGCTGATCTTCATGGTTTGTCCGGGAAGTTTCCCGATTTGGAGGTCATCGAGCTCATCAACGGGGCTAGGCCGTTCATCGTGGACATCAGATCTTGGATCAAGGTCGGTGATTTCTTCGTGGCTGGCGCGAGCCACGGTGGTAAGGTCATTCAAGCACTGCTCGCCAGGTGAGGCGATTTTCAGGCTTTCGGTGTAGCATTGCCGTGCCGTCTTCTGGTTTGCTCTGATGGAGATAATCCTCCCATAATGCCCTGGGAATTTCATGGTGAGGTGTGGGGTGAACACTACCACTCCGAGCTGATTCAAGGTTGGCCTGCTGATGATGATGTTATAGGAGGTGTCGGCTTCCACGAGGAGGTACCGAACCATGACTCGCCTTGAATCCGGAGGTGCTCCAAAAGCTGTCAGTAGGTCCACGTATCCCCGAGTGTAAACGCTTCTTCCTGCAAAACCGACCAGGGGTTCTGCGTGAGGTTGTATGAGAGAGTGGGGGACGTCTAACCTGAGGAATGTTGACCAATATAGGATATCGGCTGAGCTCCCTTGGTCGACCAGAGTCTTGTGAACCTCCCAATTGGCTAGCGCTACGGCTATGACCATGGGATCGTCCTGGTTGGGATTGATCCCGGCATAGTCATCGTCGGTGAAAGTGATCATCTGCGAGCTTTGGTGCGAAGTAGAGGTGGTGAAGTGTATGCGGTTGACATTGCGTAGGTGTTTTTTCCAGGCCGAGCTGCTGGCTCCCCCTCCTGCGAAGCCTCCTGCAATTGTGCTGATCACTCCCTATGGGGGAGTTGATCCTGGCTCCTGGTTTAAATCGGCTCGCACTGCTCCGCCAGGGTTGGGTTGAGAGCCGGAGGGATGATCAGAATATAGCCGCTGGGGTTGAGTGCGAATCCTCTTGTTTTTCGCGTGCAGAGTCGCTAGGTCAGCCTCACTAGCGGTACGCATTGCGACTAGGTCAGTTTCGTGCTTGGCACGCATGCTTTGTAGATTTGCGGCGTGTTGTTGTCGCGGCTGCTCGACCTGCTAGATCAGTCGTCTTACTGCTGCTTCGTTATTCATGTTAGTTATGTGATCTAGGTCGTTTGTTACGCGTCTGCTATGGCTTCTGGTGAAAACCATAAGCGTGGCCGATAAGAGCTGTCTTGATCGGCCCCACGGTGGGCGCCAAATGTTCTTACCGGAAATCTGCCGTAGAGGTGATTCGCCAGGTAAGATCGGTGAGCCTCCTTCACTGGTATGCTGGTGCTCCAAGATGGGGGTGGTACCTGCAAAAGAGACTCTGATGCTAAAGTTAGTATTTCTTCCCTTTTTTTTTTTTCTTTTCTTTCTTCCCACGTACTACTCTTTCTCTACGTAGACTCTTTCTTTTCTCTCAAATTTTTTTCGAGTTTCATGTGACGCTCACCTATGGCTATTTATACTAACATTTGTAATGATTACATTTTCATTAATTTAATTATTTATTGTGTATTTAGTTACCAGAAAACTATACCTTAGTGTATCTAGTTAGTAAGTGATAAACCTTATCTTGAGAAGGATAAGGTACGTACAGATTTTATCCGTAGTAATTATCATTTCATTGTTTTTTTAATAATTAATCATTCTTATTATTTATCTCTATATATATATATATAATTTAATATAATGACTTACATTAAACATTTAAAATTTTAATACTAATAATTAAAATATTCTTCTAAAAGAATTATTAAATATTTCTAAAAGTATAAAATTCATAACTAAAAGAATTATAATAATTAATTATTAAATATTTCTATTTTAATTTGCTAAAAGTATAAAAATCATAATGTATCAAATTAAAACATCTATATTTATTTATATGATAACTAAAAATAAATATTATATAATTCTATTTTAGTTTAATTTTTTTTAATGTATTGTAATTATATAAAATATTATATTTATTCTGTATTTATTTTTAAAATATAATAACTAAAATTTTAGACTACTATTTTAAGAATAGTATAATAATAACAAAGTTGAAAATATTGTATTAAAATTTAGGATATTACAATTCTCCCCTACTTACAGAAATTTTGTCCTCGAAATTTATTGCTTAAAATAAATATGGATAAGCTTTCCTAATTTTCTCTTCCAGTTCCCAAGTAGCGTCTCCAATGTCTTCATTCCAAATTACCTTTACCAATGGAATCTTTTTGCCTCTCAATTGCTTGATTCTCCTGTCTGTGATCTATACAGGTATGGTTTCAAATGTAAGGTTATCCTTTAACTATACTATATCAGGCATTATTACATGAGATGGATCAGAAATATATTTTCTTAACTGAGACACATGAAAAACATTGTGAAGATTAGAAAGAAAATGAGGTAGAGAAATTTGGTAGGCAACAGGATGTGTTTTTCTGAGGATTTGATAAGGACCAATATATCAAGGTGTGAGTTTCTTTGATTTCATTACCCTACCAATTCCAGTTGTTGGTGTAACTTTTAAAAATACATGATCACCTTCCGGAAATTCAAGAGGTTGTCTTTTTTTATTAGCATAACTTTTCTGTCTGCTTTGAGTTGTTCTCAATTTTTCCTGAAACATTTTGATTTTTCCCTGAATCATTTTGATTTTTTCCGTGGTTTGTTGTACCAATTCAGGACCCAAGATTAAATTTTCTCCTGTCTCAAACCAACACAAAGGTTTTAGGTTGAACTTGTTTGGTACACTCACTAAGGTTTTTGTTCCTAAGATGCACATGCTTGGAACTCCTTAGTCTACAAAGATAGTTATCCTATACATTTGACTCTATATGCTCTATCTCTAGTTTCGTTGTTTCGTGGGCTTGATATCACTCGGTTAAAATGCAAAGCCAATTCTACATACTACTTGGATGATTTTAATTTTTGAGAAGTATATTGATGTTTTGATATATGAATGACTTTTATACAATTATCTACTATTTTTTTCCCCATTTTTTAAAAGTCTTTGTCTCCTTATGCACTCTCTTCCCTCCTCTCTATCGAGAGTGTGTGTATATATATATGCGTGTCTCCTACTTTATCCACATTAATGTATGTTGAAGTCAAATTATTACTTTGCAATATTCAGCAATGAAATTATCGGTACAAAATGTGGTTTCTGAGTTATTGCAGTCTAATTTCACAGGATAAACTACCTGAAGCTCGTGTTGTTTATTGCTCAGCGACTGGAGCATCTGAGCCGCGCAATATGGGTTATATGGTTCGACTTGGTCTTTGGGGAGATGGGACTTCATTTGCTGATTTCCGTGAATTTCTAGGTAGTTTCTTATCTCTTTTCCTGTGCTTAATAAAATTCAATTTAACTAGCAATCTTCATCTGTTTTTGAACATGCTTTTATATTTATTTCATTCATAAATAAATTTTGGATAAATACATTGTTGGACTTTTTCCCCCTTCCATATACTTACTACTGCAACATTATGGAGGTATATTATGCTTGTCTAATTAATGATGTATTTATCTTCAAACATTTATGAATATATTGATAGATAACCAAAATTTTGATTGTTTAATTTCAACTACGTATAGAGACATAATATAGAATGTTCAAGAATTTCTTGAGTCTTTGAAGTTAACAATTTGAATTTATACATCCAGGTGCTCTTGACAGAGGGGGTGTTGGAGCTCTTGAATTAGTTGCCATGGACATGAAAGCAAGGTTATAATATTTTCGTGTACACACCAAGCCTCATCCTTAATGAACAGACATGCTTATGAGAGATATATCATTTTGCTTCATTTATCTTATTGTAGGGGTATGTACTTATGTCGGACACTTAGCTATGAGGGTGCAGAGTTTGAAGTTATTGAAGCACCACTAGAAGAAAAAATGATGGTATGGGACACAATTGTTTACTTGTGCTATTATTTACCGAAGTTGTAATTGTTTTACAGAAGAAAGTGGGTAATTATCTGGGCAAATGTTGACTGGCTTCTGAAAATAATAATCTGTAAAGTATAACCTAACAGAAAGGGAATTCCATCAACTGGTTTCCACAGGCTGTCTGTAGTTGTGTGACATGCAATAAAGTAATTAGCCTTTCCTTTTTCTGACAATTGGTTTGTGTTTAATCTCTTTTTCACTTGTTTATGTCAGAGTCATATTTATGTTGAAGTTAGATGAGAAACACATAGAAGAGGGGTTGAATATGTGTGTGTGTGAATAAAGGAATTATAAAAACTTTTCGCAATATGGTTGTCTTTCATCTAGTAAAATAATGTAAGTGATTGCCAATGGAACTCCTCAAGATTGGTTCAACAATATATTTTTGCGTCTGGAAATTTCATCGTCTGTTTGAGAAAAATACTTATTCAATGAAAACGTTCTTTAGAATAATAAGTTGAACAAATGTGGTTTTCGTCTGAAGGTAGTTCTAATAAACAATAAGCGTTAGACGAAGTTTTTAGTATATTAACTCGATCAAATAAAAATGTGTCTGAACCATAAAATTATTGCAAGTATTTTTATACTGGTTTATTCAAACTGAGATACGTCTAGTCTCCTTCATGTTCCACTAGATAATCAATTAAGTACAAGTATTGTTTGTTCAGCCTCTTCAGGCTAGCAGTGAGTATTATAGACCACCCAAGTCATGACCACTCCTAGTCTCAAGTATTCTCAACCACTCCTGGCTCGTTAGCTTCACTCGTAGACGCTAGTATTCTTTTCTCAGTCACTTCTGGCTCTCAGTGGGTATTCTTGACCAACTCCTGGCCCGTTGACTTCACTTATCAACGCTAGTATTATTTGATTAACCACTTCTGGCTCTCACTGAGTATTATCGACCAACTCCCGGCCCGCTAGATTCACCACTAGCGTTAGTATTCTTTGTTCAGCCACTTCTGGCTCTCAGTGAGTATTATCAGCCAACTCCTAGCCTGTTGACTTCACTCATCAACGCTAGTATTCTTTAATCAGTCACTTCTGGCTCGTAGTGAGTATTCTTTGACAAGCCTCTCCAGGCTTTACAAGTATTATTTCCCTAGTCTCTTCAGGCTTTATATATGTTAGGTTGAACTTGTTTGGTACACTCACTAAGGTTTTTGTTCCTAAGATGCACATGCTTGGAACTCCTTAGTCTACAAAGATAGTTATCCTATACATTTGACTCTATATGCTCTATCTCTAGTTTCGTTGTTTCGTGGGCTTGATATCACTCGGTTAAAATGCAAAGCCAAAAAGGCCCGCCAAAAGCCAACCTTCCAAGGTTTGAGATAGTGATATATATATTGTCTTATAGAATCTGCCCGTTACAAGTGTCCGTTGAAGCAAATATAATCGTTCATGACTAGTTCAATCTACCCATTTAATGCTTGAGTTCTTGCATTAAATGTTGCTTCTTATGATAGACCTTGCGTGAAGTCTTCTTTGCCTTGATAGCAGCAGTGTCTGAATTTTGCAAAGACCTAGAAACCTTTTTGTAAAGTTTTACCTTTAATGAAACATTTACCTTGTATTAGATTATTGTTTTGAGAAGCTTTAGTTCCAGTCATGGTATAAACTCTCCTAGTCATAGGAGGTCTCGTTTTGGTTCCAGAAGTCTTTGCGTATGCCTTTGGTTGTCCACACTCATAAAATACATGACCAGGTTTTCCACACTTGAAACAAACAGGTCCTTTGAGATGACAGTCTTTAGTATAATGACCCTGTCCACACTTAAGACACTTAGCTTGATTATTCATGGGTATACTTGAACTTCCTGCAAATTGGGAAGATTAGGGTTTTCATTGAGGTCGATCATAAGGTTTTCCTTCATTATTCCTTTTCTTATCAAACTGAGGGCCAAAAGATTTTGGTCTATTATCCTTATTTTGATCAAAACCTTCTAGAAATCGGCACTTGTGTAGTAATGTGGGAAAATCAGAGATTTCTAATATCCCTACTACCTTTCTTAATTTTGGTCTAAGTCCATCCTCAAATTTAATACACTTCATTCTCTCATTAGGGTGATAAAAGAAAGCAAAATATTTTCCCAATTCCTCAAACTTAGAAGCATACTCTCCTACTGTCGTATTACCCTATTTTAATTGCATAAATTCTATTTCTTTAGCCCTCGTAACATCATTGGGAAAATATTTTTCAAAAAATATTACTCTAAACACTTCCCATGTAATAATTAATCCTCCTCCTTCTAATAACCTTCTAGTACTATCCCACCAATATTTCGCTTCTCCTACTAACATAAACACTGCATAGTTTACTTTTTGGTTATCAGGACAGTTCATGGCTCGAAATATCTTTTCTATTTCTTTAATCCATAATTCAGCCTTTTCAGGATTATATCCTCCGTCAAAATGGGAAGGTTTATTTCTCCTAAATTCTACCAGTCCCTGTGACTCCCCCATTCCTTCCGGTCGTTGATTTCTTAATAAGGCTGCAGCCATGTCCTTAATAGCTTGTACAGCCTCTGTCAATTCAGTATTTCTTCTTCCTGCCATCTGAAATTTTATAGATTAGTTTATCATACTAGAAACATGGTTAGCACATTTCCCCAAGTTACACATGGAACGTTGCTCTAATATCATTAAAATGTAACGTCTAATAGTATAAGTATTAACCCTAATTTTATACGTATATATATTTATAGATAATTTATATATATTTATAGATTGAGAACACAAATAAGTAATAAAAGAAAAGTTTCAAACTCACATACATATAATTAACTTATAATGACCTTAAAATATTTGCAATAATATGCGTAATTATAAACTACTCATATATTATATTATTATTTCCAATATTTATATTACATATTATTCTACTATTATTTAGAGTACATGCCTTACATACAATTTTTTTCTACTACTACTACTATAGTATTTACATTGGTGGTGCAAATAACTTTACAATAGGATTTGCATGATTTGCTGGTGGTAAAAAGAAAGTCACTATAATGGGACCATCTATAATAGTGGGTTTTTCTTGATTGGGAAAGAAAACGAACGAAGATAGTCCTATGCCTTGGAACGTGACTGAGTTGGAGACAGCGTCTACACTCCAATTACCCCCAGGAAAAACGGCAGTGATGACACTGTAAAAGGACCTGAAATGGCCGGTAGATCCATCTATTTTATGATATATTTAATTTTACACAAAAAAAATAAGGAGTGAGAACGCTTATCAAATAAATACAATTAATTAAATAAAGAACAAGAATGTTTATAGTAAACATAAAAATTAAATTTTTATTGTTATAATAAAATTTGAATTATTTTAATAGTGACTAGTCAAGATAAATGAGCATTATCATAATATCAACCAAATATCAAACAGGATTTCACCATAAGTCCTTACTCATTTAAATCCTCAAGGTCGAACCTCCAACTACAAATAATTCAAATTTTATCTTCTATGGCCATAGAACAATATTTATCTCCATAAATACATGAAGAAATAATAACAAGACGAGTTCAAGATATCACAACTATATTATAGATGATTATAAAATATATTTATAATAAATATATTTACGTAAAAAGAATATATTAAGAGTACCAATGATATAAATAAAAAGTGAAAATCATTATAAAATAATTAAACAATATAAAATATGAACACCTTAATAATTATTATGGATAAAAATAATCATAGGTTAAGCAAATAAATGAGGTTAGGGATACCTCACTAAGTAAATAAACATAAAGTATAACATAAATAAACAAATATAGTAACATATAAAATTTTAAAAAGATAAAGTTTTCCTCCCCCTTACCTTACCCTTACCTTAAGGAAAATGATATGACTTTGAGATATTCCAAAGTTGTATATTTCTTCCCCTTTTTCTTTTATTTCTTTTCTCTCTTCCCACTTATTACTCTTTCTCTACGTAGAACCTTTCTTTTCTCCCAAAATTTTTTCGAGTTTCATGTGATCCTCACCTACGGCTATTTATACTAACATTTGTAATGATTACATTTTCATTAATTTAATTATTTATTGTGTATTTAGTTACCAGGAAACTATACCTTAGTGTATCTAATTAGTAAGTGATAAACCTTATCTTGAGAAGGATAAGGTACGTACATATTTTATCCGTAGTAATTATCACTTCATTTTTTTTTTTTAATATTTACTCATTTGTATTATTTATCTCTCTCTCACACACACTCTCTCTCTCTCTCTCTATATATATATATATATATATATATATAATTTAATATAATGACTTACTTTATCCGTAATAATTATCACTTCATTTTTTTTAATAATTACTCATTCGTATTATTTATCTATATATATATAATTTAATATAATGACTTACATTAAACATTTAAAATTTTAATACTAATAATTAAAATATTCTTCTAAAAGAATTATTAAATATTTCTAAAAGTATAAAAATCATAACTAAAAGAATTATAATAATTAATTATTAAATATTTCTATTTTAATTTGCTAAAACTATAAAAATCATAATGTATCAAATTAAAACATCTATATTTATTTATATGATAACTAAAAATAAATATTATATAATTCTATTTTAGTTTTAAAAAAATTTTAATGTATTTTATTTATATAAAATATTGTATTTATTCTCTATTTATTTTTAAAATATAATAACTAAAATTTTAGACTACTATTTTGAGAATAGTATAATAATAACAAAGTTGAGAATATTGTATTAAAATTTAGGATATTACAATGCTAAAGAGACACTTGCTGCCATGAGTTTTGAAGTTAAGTCTTTACCTAATGGGATTCAAAATCTTTTAAAGGAGTTTAATGATCTATTTCCTCAAGAGGTTTCAAGTAGACTTCCACCTTTAAGGGGGGATAGAACATCAAATTGACTTGGTACTTGGGGCTAGTCTTCCTAATAGGCCTACCTATAGGACCAACTCCCATGAAACAAAGGAGATTGAAACTTAAGTTGAAAGCTTAATGAAGAAGGGTTGAGTTCAATAGAGCCTTAGCTCTTGTGTTGTGCCTATTCTTCTAGTTCCTAAGAAAGATGGAACTTGGAGAATGTGCACAGATTGTGAAGTTATTAATAATATAACTATTAAGTATATACATCCAATCCCTACACTAGGTGATATGCTAGATGAGT